ATGCATCATCATGCATCATCATGCATCATCATGCATCATCATGCATCCTGAAATACCTCTTTGCTTCTGGAAGAGCGGTTTTCTTTGCCTGTCATCCGGACACACCGGGAATGTTTCTGTCTTGTTTGTTGGAAGGGGTAGCGGTCATACAAAAACGATTGCTAACACAATCTAAAACATTTCAAACAGTTTTCCCGTTTTCTACTCATCTACTCTTTCAACCTGGGATTTTAACCACCCTGGTGATCACTCATTCGATGGGCGGCAACAATGGGCTCGCTCTCCTGCTCAGCTGAGGCCACGGTTCTGGCTGAGATGGGTGGGTTCTTGGCTCATTTGGAGCGGGAGCATTGGGCTTAGACGCGCAGAAAGTGGACTGGGCTGGCTGGGCTGCATCCAAAAAGCACGCAGGACAATCTGGAAAAGAAGTTCCAAAGATCACCTATTATATAATGCAAACAAACAATTCAAACGCAAAGGTTTTCCTGTACGGATTTGTTCTTCAGAAGTCTCCTATGACTCGGTCCTATGACAGATTGAAGGGCCTTGGTTCTCTTTTCCCAGTGAGTTGCACCGGCAACGCTTCTCCTATGATTCGGTCCTTTCGTCCTGTTTCGCCCCCCAAAAAAGACCTTCGAACCTCGCTGATCTCCGACCCAACCGAGGTCTGCAGAGGCCAAGAGTGATCGAGATCGCTTGGAGCGCGAGCTACGAGAGCACAAGGACGAGCACTCTCGGGTGGATCTGATGGACTCGGTCGCCGGTTGCCGGTTGCCATGTTGGGCCGTGCAGGTCGAAGGAGGTCGAAGTGGTCGCAGGAGTCTTCAGCGAAATCTAATTACATCAAATTGTACGACATCTTTTTGAATTTTTCGCAAACCCAAATCGAACTATATAGCAAGCCCAAATCTCGCGTGGACCCGTCGCGGACGGTCAATGATCACCCTCGTCCAAATGTGTAACTGTAACAGCGAAGCAGCTTTGGAGCGAGGAAATTCGACTGCATGAGGTAACATGAACATAGGTCTTTTGCAGGATTCACATGGATTATGGTGTTCGGGCTGACCCCCCGCCAAGGAATCCGTGCAAGGGGCTGTTGACCATGGGAGTGCCGTGCTGACGAGCGTTTTGCGTTGCTCCTGACCCTCCGACCTATGGAGCCTTAGGGGGGGGTGGAGCTACGAACGGAGCTCCTGGCAGTGCTACGTAGTAACAAGGGCATCGCTACGAACGGAGCAAGAAGCGAGGAACCAAGCAAGAAGCTACACATCAATTCCTTCAGCACTCTGCGACTTCTCTTTTTGGCACGTGGGTGTGTGAGGTCCCAGGTGCCTGATTCGAAGTCCAAGGTCCCAGGTAGCGGTTGGAGAACTGTCTGACAGGACTTAAGGACATGCTGTCCGTCCCGTGCCTGGAGCACGGGGTAAAAACATGTGCATAATCGCATAGTTGTTTCTCCACGCGTTTGCAGCCTTTCTTCCCCCTTGCCCTCAACCCTTCTCTTCCATTATTTCATACTATTTCCATCATTGGCGCCTTTGCTGGTGCTGCTGCTCTTCGGGTGTGCGATGGGGGAAGACAGCCCACACATCGGTCTGTCCCTTCTTTATCCTCCCGCGAGCCGGAGGATGTGATAGATCTGAAAGGACTGGGCCTCCCTTAAACATGGCCAGTATATAGCTCCAATCTGCTTGCTCGAATGGGGTCGCAAGTGCGAATATTGGGGAGAATGACTTGGTTCCGAGAATAGACGACGTGCCGGTACCAGTGCGAAGCATAGTGGAAAAAATAGACCGGAGTGCAAAACCAGAGTGCTCCATCGATCAGCTAACTTGCTTCCTTCGCCCGCGTGAAGGACTCCACCATGCAGAAGCCTTCAAGAAGAATAACCTAGAAGCGATAGCCTCCAACCTAATAGCATTTCAAGGGTCCCGGAGCAACCATGAGCAACCTGTGTATTGCACATAGCGTGAAGCACTTTGGCGACTCTTGGGACTTTTGAGAGTTGTCAGCATCACCCAAATTCCGAAGGCAGGGCCTGTTGCTCAACAAGGTTCCACTCGTTCGCAACCGATGCCGGATCTGCAGAGGAGTTGATGACCCGAGAGCTGTATGACATTGAGATACTCTTCAAGCTCAAGCAGGGCCAGGAGGGCCGCGGGTCCGCGGTCTTTGTGGTTGAACTGGCTTATATCAAAGCCGATGGTGAGGGAAACAAATCGACGACGAGTGTTCGAAACTCGAAACAGCAGAGGGAATACCCTAAGCTTCATCAACTTTCAACAGTTCAATGGTCTTCTGGGAGCAGGGAGCCACTCCATATGGGAGACACTCATCAAATGAGCGATTTTAGAGTATCTTCGCATGCCCGTTTTGCCAGAAGCATGCTCAATCCACTGTAAAGCGACAAGGGCGACACCATGATAGTCCTGGATCAAAAATGGACACCAAGGACGAGGGATGTTTGCGCAAGGGTTCAGGGTGTTGAGTTAGTCACAGGAAAAAGACACAAAAGATGACACAAATATAATTTTGGTTAGTCAAAGCACAGGAGAAACAACCGCGGGAGAGGTATGACATGGTATGACATGGTTTTGGTGATGTCCTTTAGACAACCAAACTCATCACATCCGCGAGGTTGAAGTGCCACAAGCAGCAGTGGTGACCGACTACTCTGATGCGATTGTCATCGATCAGGAGGCGCCGGAAATGATGGGATGATGTGATGTGGGATATGTGAAAGTTTGAAATAGCTTCCATAGGTTCTTGTGAGTCATTTGTGACTACTGTAAATGTTATTTCTTGGTGTGTATGAAAAGAGGGAAACCTCCCAGTTCGACCCCCTGGAACAAGGAAAATGGACCACAACCAATTGATAACCAATTGATTCGGGTCTCCCTATTACTGTAAAATAACATAGAATAGAACCCTAGTAGCGTCCTTGTTCCTAGTAGTACGGCCAGGAGCCCAGTAGCGAACCTTGTTACTATATGTTATTGCTCACACTTTTGGAAGGATGTGTCATTTTCGACGATCTTCTGGGGTCTCCCACCGTCGGTCCGTTCGTTTAGACGTTGGGGACCCCCCCCCTACACGACCGGACGAGAGCGGTCAGAAGGAAACGAGTTGCGGCCCCAGGAGGACTCGGTCCAATTCGACGCGTCGTTTTGGGCGTCTTCCCATTGAACTGGACGTCTCAAATGGCTGTTTCGATCCCCGCGAGTTCCATCTTTCTCAGCTGCTGGAGTGTTCTGTACACTTCTTCCCTGAGGTGGTGGAATCCCGAAACAGCAGGATAACGGATCTTGGAAAGGACAAGGTTCACATCCTGACCAAGATTAAGGAGCCATGTTTCATCGCTTCTGTTTCATCCGAAAATGGGACTTTCTTGGCCACGAAAATGAAAAGGCCCCATCCTGAGGGGATCTCAGATTTTGGATGCGTCTTGCAGGAGTTTAGAAAGTCCTTAAGCTTGCTGGACTGGGAGCACGAAATGCTGGCCTTGCAAACCACCGACCTGGAGGCCGTCGGAATCCTTTCGATGGACCATTAAAAAATGCACTGTTCAGCTCATGGACTCCATGGACCCTTGTATATAGAAGGAGAGGTTGGACCCGGAATCCTTTGGAGGGGTCTGGGGTCTAAAGTTTCACGGTCTTTTTTGGGGGACCAGAGCGGCGAGATGCGAGACGACACTTGGGGGGGCACTCAGATGAGCCACGCGAGATCCCGAAGCGGACTGTGGAGTGCCAGGAGCGGACCAAGGATGTACATATGCTGCGCGTAACCAAGGAGCATTCCGCCACAAAGGGGTCAGTCTGGCGAAGACGGGCGAACAACTGGGCGGGATAGAACTCAAGCGCATCGAAGCGCGAAAACCATGCATTTTATACACTTGTTGTATTACCATGTATTACCATTGAGATCCATGGAGAGACATGCAAAGAAATATAGAACAAAGACAGCAATTTGGGTGGATAATGAAGGATGATGAATGATTGTCCTTTCATTTTGAGGAACCGGGTCACACTGGGATTCTCACTGGGATTCTGGGCTTCCTCGCTCGCTAGGACCTGCAATCTTTGCTCAAAGGTGGCGAGGAAGGCAAGGCGCTCAGTCCGCTGGCCTTTGATGCAGGAACTCTCCGTGTTCGTCAGAAGCGCGACGGATATGAGGCAGAAATAAGGCCGAGTCTGACTTGCTCGAGAGTGCCGGGCTGATGTTTTGCGTTGGGTAAACGAAACATGAGCAGAAAGGATTGCAGCCTTCTTTTAAAATCAATCAATGTAAATGTAAATCATATGTTCAATGGGTGTGTCTCAAACGGAGGACATCCTTGAATATCAAATGGGCTTCAGTAGATGTTCTCGTTTACTGGTGATATTTTTGGAGGACTCCCTACGTTGCGTTGGAACACACCTGTCAGCGATTCCATCAACTACCCTTTCGAACATGTCCATGTACCAAGCCGGGATGGTACGTGTAGGCCAAGCGCTTCAGAATTCCCGTACTGGAACACTCAGTTTTGCTTGTGATTGGAACACTCAGGAAAAATCGAGCATGTGAGTGAGGCGACTGAAAAGAAGGAGCAGGCGAAGCCGACGAAGCGAGATGGGTCAGCTGTATCCAGAAACTCATATGAAAGAGGCTTTGGCTACAGATGTTTGCCAGGGCATCCAGTTACCATTATTGCTGGTAACCGGTGGTGCCAAAGACTAAAACCATAGACCTAGAATCCCTGGTTCCTTATATAGTGGCAGCTGAGATGCACTGGGTTTGATATATATATATATTATATTCCTCAAGTGTTGTTTGTTTTCAGATTCGCCTCGCAAGCAGTACGGACTGCCACCCACCACGGAGGCGCTGAAAAAACAGCACGCCATGCTGGCTCATGCGGCGAAGCTCCGACTCTCGGCAAACAGATGCTGTTCCTCAAAATGAAGAGCCAAAGGCATGGGATGGAGACAAAGCGGCCGCTTTTTTCCGAGGAAAGAATGAGAATGGCATGTTGGAGAAGCACTCCTGTCCTGTTTCCAGCGCAAGCTGTTCCGCAGAAAAAAAACTCCATCGCCCGCCTTGCCACCTGTCTTGGACCTTGCTACTAGTAGCGATGCCCTTGTTGCTAGTAGCTTCTTGTTCCCAGTCGAATGCCAGGAGCTACTAGTAGCTATTTGCTATTAGGTTCCCCTAAGGGACGATGTCCGAAAAAGGCTTGCCTGGCGACGTCCGCAATTCCTTAGTGGACGTGTTCGATCTGAAGCTATGGTTCACACACGGAGGTTTTTGACCTTTGACCGCCCAAAAAATAGCACTCCGCCTGACCCGACATCGATTTTCGTCCCACCTCTCCGCCACTTCACTGTGAACAACCTGACTTCGTTACGGTGGCAAACAGCAGGAAGCTGCGAGAGCTGCAGCAGAACGTGATCCAGCGTGAGCACATCCGGCGCTTGCGGGGCCCGGCCGGAGGCGGCGGTGGAGCTCCGCAGAAGACCGGTGGAGGCGGCCGTGTGGAGGCAGGTTCCGGATAAAGAACGGAGGAGAAAGTTCGAGGGTTGGAGTTTTGCTTTGGCTAGCAGTTGTGATGTTTGTAATCTTTTTCCACAGATAGCTGCAAGCTATAGGGGTTCTTACCTCTCAATGGTGTGGCTCTGGTGCTGGTGCTAGTGCTGGACGTTTTGTTTGGGTGTGTCATGCCTGGCATGACATGATGTCATTCTGGGCATGACATGATGTCATCCCGGGCAAGACATGATGTCATCGCTGCTTTGGAGCTTGAGTGCTGGTGCCGCTGCTGGGTGCTGCTGCCATGTGGGTGGCCGTGTGCGTTTTGGAGCTTGGGTGCTGGTGCCGCTGCAGGGCTCCGCCCCCAAAATCTTTGGCTATCTGGGGTCTATGCTGTTGTGTATATTTTTTGGGAGGCTACATGATGATGCAGAAAGCAGGATGTACACGATTGTGCATGTTTAGAAGATTGGAAATTCATGGCAGATGATGTGTTTGGGCGTCAGGAAGATGAGGGTGCGGCGAAAGCAGCGCGAACTGCCTTCAAAGAGGTGACAGCACTCAGGTTTGACGGCTTGAAACACCTTCAAAGGGTTGAACATGATCTTGCTGTGCAATCAACTTCTCCATCTTTGCTAAGTTGCGAAGTCGTCAAAGACTTATGGAGGCTGTGCCGGCCTTGGCTTCGTGGAGTTTCATAAAACTTGAAACCAGTTGTGGCTGCCATGTGATGGTTTGCCTTTCCGTTTTTCCAAGGCTAAGAAGAATACGGAAGAAATTGAGATCCTGCACAAGGTGCTGAAAGATCCCTTCACTCCCCCGCTGAGACTCATGAGTCAGAAAATAAGAGTTCGCTCGTGAGCTCTGATTAGACCCAGGACTTAGGCTGTTATGAGATGTCATGAGTCATCGTCAAAAAAAATGAAGACAATTTCACATTCAATCCTCACAGGAACCTTCCAGGGGTTTCATCCCCTCCGTTCATGAGTGCATGTTCTGGGGACCGACCCCTCCACCCCTCTCCTCCATTCGTTTTCTTGTTCTGAGCACGAACGGAACTGGTGAACTTTGCGGCCGAGGAGCTCGACCGATTGCGACAAAGGACGTTCCCATCCTTTGTCCAATTGCACGAGGCGGGAGGCCATTTTTTCTGGCCCCGTCTTTCATTGTGCGCATTAAGTGATACAGAGACAGACATTTGGGGTAAGCATTGAATGATATTGATATAATATAGACGACTTTCCAGGACAGGTCAGTCAACCCTGACTTCCGCTGAAGCCGCATTTTCCTAATTTTACTGAGTCTCTGTAAACAGAGCTCTCAGAAGTTTGTTTCACCAAAACACGGCTTGAAATGTCAGAGCTTTTGCGGACCTACACTTACACCAAACTGACAGCCAGCGCAACATCACACGAGTCATCCTCTGACAAGCTATTGCGCGGCTCCCCATCAAATTCCAGATGGCCAAACTGGTCAACTGTAATTTGCCTGGTCTCACATTGCATGAGGCAGAGGAAAAATGCGGCATGCCGGTTTCATTCTGCTTTGATCAATCAGCATTGGGTACAAGACATTGGTCGCCATTCTGCTTTCATCAATGTGTCATGCGTCGCCGTGGATAAGCTGCGAAGATCCGATAGTAGCTCGGCGCGGATTGACCGGCCCTTTCTTTGTTTCAGGCAGACACCGTTGGGCTTCTTCGTTTATTGGGTTGCACCTCCAACGAGTCCCTGGATGTGGATGGAGATTGGCTCCTGGAAGGACCCATGAACTACTGTAATGAAGACTCTTGATGAACAATCCGATTTGACTTCAAAAATCTTCTTCACATGATTTCATAATATAGGCCGGGGGTTTATGAATCCATGAGTCAACCATGGGGATTCCTGTCCCCTTCGGTTTCTCCACATGAAGATCTCCAAGGGTCGGACGCCCGTTTCGCCGCGACGTTTCGCGTTTCCTGCGCAGGGGCCAGCTGCTTGGAGATGAGAATCGAGAAGCCATTTGGCGGAACGGATTTGCACTTTTCAGGGCAAAGGATCAGACGAGACGAGTCCGCTCCGGCCATTGACAGACGGATCGACGTATCGAGGGCGACAGCCGGGGCGACCGGTGGTCGTCGTTTTGGGTGAGGGACTGGGACCCACAGCATCGCACCAGTGTGATTGAACACAATTGAACACAAAATGCTGATCGTTGGCTGCCTCTTCCGTTTGTGAGGTGCTGGTTTTGCTCCAGCAACATCTATCCCGGCCATGGCATCATGTGCTCCAGACATGTGATTTCTCGCTTGATCCAGACATTTGCGAGTGCTTGGATTCCTGCATGATCCCTGCATTGCAATCCAATGTGTTTTTTTTCCTTTGCCCATCAGGTTTGTGCGCAACGATTGCAAGATGTTCAGGTTTTGTCGTCCCTACCTGAGTGATCCAGTGCCGTGGTTTTTTGCCGTCGCAGTGCCGTGCGAAGCGAAGAATGTGCCAAGGTTCCAAATGCCACAAGCATTTCAAGATGAAGCACAATCCACGGAAGCTCAAGTGGACCAAGGCCCCGGTTTTCTGTCAAAGCATGTTGAAACAACATTTCTTCAAGACGAGGCCTCGCTTGCTGAGGGGGTAGGTCGTCCTGGTGCCACTTGTGACATGCGATACATGTCCTGAGTCCTGAAGGCCTACAGACGAGCCCGTGGCAAGGATGCTTGTCTGCTACACTTGAACAAAAACGGCTGGCCTTTTAGGTGATGCTATATGTATTATAAAGCATCATTCATGTTCTCTCAGTTTCCTGTCAGGGCTTCTTCTGCCCCTTTGGTTTAAGCATTGATCTTCTTGTGACGTACATGTTTGCATGAATCTTCAGGAGATGGTCGTTGACTCGACCTTCAACTTTGAGAAGAAGCGCTTGACCCCAACAAGGCCAGCGCTTGACCGGACGTGGTACGTTGGCCGATGCCGCCGTTGGCATGGAGCTTCAACCTGGCAGGTACAACCGCAATTTGATGATCAAGACCGCTTCCTCCCCAGACAGTTTCCGTCTTGCAAGCAGACGCAGTGACACTTTCCTTGCAGTGACGCAGAATGATGCAGTGCATTTCTTTTGAAGCATTCTAAGCCCAGACTCGAAACCACGTCATAAAGCACTAGAGGATCTAGAGAGCTCTACAAGAGCGAAACAACTTGGCACAGTGTTTGGTTTATGGAGAGTCGAGTCCTGGTTGATGCCTTCAGTTTGCAGACTCGGCCCTCTCACCTTCGAGTTCGGATTTCGAGGTGAGAGCCATGCAAATCGTCGAGCGCATCCGACAAGTTCGCAAGGAGTCGGACGCCCCGGTCGCGCATCGAGGTAGGTCGGTCGCGACACCGAGCGGAGCGGGCCAGAGGCAGCGCCGGAGGCAGCGCCGATCGCGCTGAGGCGATTTCATAAGGCCAGATTGGCCGGACAGCTCAGGCGAGGACTGCTTGCGTCCTTGTTCCTAGTAGCGTCCGATCGCTCCCAGTAGTACGGCCAGGAGCCCCTAGTAGCGTCCTTGCTCCTAGTAGCGATGCCAGGAGCCCCTAGTAGCGTCCCTTAGGGGAGTGCCTTAAAGAGATATAGATATTCTGATTCTGTGATTCTGAGATATTCTGAGGTATCTTTGACATAAAACATCATCAAACCATTAACGTACCACGCATCGACTTTTTTTGCTCGGCCGAGTGATGGATGACGCCGGCTCGACGCGAGTTAATTTCTGGCATGGAGCTGAGCCGAGTGATGGAAGTGATGGGCAGGCAGAGACAAACAAGTGCACAGAAGGAAGTGGCATGGTGCTCAGACCCTGCGAGGGATCTCCAACTGCTGAACATCCTCCATGATTACGCATGGAAGGTGAGTAAGAGCCAGTTAGGTCTCTGTAACAGACAGAGGTCTGCAAGGGCAGCCTTACATGATTGTTTCAGGGGTCCTTCCAGTGTTTTCACAACGAAGGTTTTCCGGCAGCGTGCTCTCAGGCCAGAAGTGCTCATCTCTTGGAAGGGCCAAACAAGGAGAAGGCATTGCACTATCAGAAGGACAGAGCCAAGGTTTGCAAGTGGTGATGAATCGTGGTGTTCATTTTGGATGTTTGTTTTTCTCTGAGACTCTGACATAATTGAGTTGTAGATCGTTTGCATATTGTACGTAATTGGAACCATCGTATGATTTCATTCCATATGATTTCACATGATTTCACCTGGTTTCATACCTTTCATTTCTTTAAACTAAACACAATCCATGTTCTTTGGCATGCCATGTGGCATGCCGCGTTCCAGGAATTTGCCGGCTCCACGAAGGCCAAGAGCCGGCAGAAGGTCAAGGTGCAGCCCAATCTCGTTTCGTCGGAGCTTGGTTTGGTTCACCGAACATCAAGAAAACATGCCCTCTCAGTGTAAGTAACTCCTGGCAGGAAGACGGCAAAATCATGGAAGATTCAAGAACAAGTTGAACAAGGGATAACGGGATAACTATATGATACGATATAGGATCCTATCAATTAGATAATATTATATATATATAGGAGAAGACGGGATAACTGATAACTGTTACAACGGCGAATTTTCTTGACCATGAGATTGTTGGACACAGACGCTATACAGTAAATTAGGATCAATTATATAATTAGTCAATTGGGATGCTTGCCAGGTGGAAAAGACGGCAAGTGGGGCCATGGAAGTGGAGGAATGAGCAGAATTGTCTCCTCCCTTCTCATGTACATAAGCAAGACAAAGACCATGAGCTTGCCGCGAAGGAGCACCGTGCCACCAAGGAAAAGCAGTTCATTTCGAACTATTTTGTGTCAGCTCCGATTGTTTGTAGACCGGCGCTAGCTCCGGATCGATCCGGTGCCAAGCTCCAAGAGCATTGGCTTTGGAGTGTGAGAGATTGGCGATCGCTTGTGCCAAACCATTTAGCTCAACGCTGTAGCGGTGAGTCAATTCGACAGCCAGTGTTTGGCAAATCGGCTCACAACTCCAAGATCGTCACCGCAGGCAGGTTGCGCCTGCTGCAA